AGGGAAGCAGCTCTAGTGCTTTTGGCACACACCTTCCTATTTTGAGGGATAACTCCAGGTTGGCACAGGAGGCAGCTGTGTTGCAAAAAGCGATCAGCCACCAGTGTTATAAGATCAATTCATATTGTGCTTCTTCTCAAAAGCTGCAGCTGTTTGGTATGATGCAAGGCTTCCAGTTCTTCAATGGCCTGGCCCACAGGAGTGGGTGGGCATGCTGCCTTCTCCTCTCCACAGTGTAGCTACACTATGATGCAAAAATAAGAGGTGGCTGTATTGGGGAAGACTTAAGAAATTAAAAGAAAAAAAATAATGTTTGTCTATTGTACAAATATACTTTCTCATGGCTGTTGAAAGAGTCTTCTCTTCCTTTTTACTCCCAGAATCCTGGAAAATTAATAAACCAGTAGCTGGAAATTGGGTGGCATATAAATTTAATAAATTATATAATTAATTATATGACCAGTTAGGATAGATAAAGAGGAGAAAGCAGATGACAACATACAACACTTGGGAACGGCTGATCAGGCAGATAGAATCAGGACCTACAGAAGCCAGAGCTTTGGAGGGGCTTTGGAACTTAAGGTCACCTTAGCTGGAAGGTATAGCTATTGAGTCAGGGTAGAAACTTCTGCTAAATCCAGAGTCTAAACCAGAAACTGGGCTGTAATGTAACACAAAGTTTATGCAATGACTAAGTTTGCCAATGCTCTCCACATCCAGCATCAGAAGAGGTGCTCTGAGGATCCATGAATTGGGGGACAATGGCCACCTGACCTCCTCTTCCTTCCACTTGAATTTCTGACAGAAAGATTCCAACAAAAACAGACACCCAGTTATGCTTGCAATAGCTACAATTGGAGCAGGAACTTGATTTCATCTCATGCTGGGCTTTGGTTTACCATGTTGGGTGAAGCCAGCCATTGTGGTTTGGAGCTGTGTTGGAAGCCAGCCAGCACGCAGGAGAGGCACCGGATGTCTGTCTTTTCTGCCATGAAGCTTTCACACGCAGAGCCTTTTTGGTGCTCCAGAATGGCTAGGAGCTGTTCATTTGTGCTGGGTTGAAGCCACCCAAGCAAAAGGCTCACTGTCTTTGGAAAGGGCAGTCGGGTTTTGTAAAAGCATCAGCAACCTGGCCTTGTTTTGATGATGGCAGCAGAAATCTGGCATTGTGCAATTTCTGTAGAGATGCCAGGCTTGGAAAAATGGGGTATGGGGTAGGAATGCTGCTGTGGACAAGGCTTGGGTGGCACTAGAATAAGGTGGGACCACAACTGCATGTGGACTGGCTGCACTCGGAGGGTCAATGTGAATGGCTTAGCATTAAGGCAGGGATCGGTCTTGGCAATCTGATATTAATCCCCCGCATAAGTGAAGTCTGATGAGCTGTTTGTGCATGACACAAAATTGGGAAGTCTTGTCAATGCTCAAGATGGCAATGCGATTGCAACATAATCTGACAGGTTGGAAGGCTGAGCTGAGAAGACAAAAGTGTCCTTCAGTATGGTGAAAAGTATAACGTGTAGAAGAAAAATTTAGGGCCCTGCATCTGTGAAGCACTTGGGCACTGAGAACAAGTTGAACATGCATGAGGGGGGCTAAAACAGGTCTGGCTGCATTAGAAATCTTTAATCCAGGTGATACAATATCTGGAATGCTGTGTATAGTGCTGGGTGTCTGTTTCCAAAAGGATATGATGGGTTAGAAGAAGCCAAGAGGAGGGCAGTGAAGATGATGCAGGATGTTGAGGTTTTGCCCTCAGAGGACAGGCTGAAGGGACTTGGGATCTTCAGCCTGGAGGAACACAGACTGCGGGGAGTGGGATAGCTCAGGTTTATAAAGAGAAGTCATGGAAAGAACCAGAAATAATGAGGACTATTCGGATTTTGCTTGAATATAGAGAAAACTCCCTAAGGGTAAGATCTGTACCACAGTGGAACAGGGGTTGCTGCTTTTCCTACCCTGGGGTTTTTTGAGAACCTGGGCAGCCATTCCCAAGGATGGTTTTCCTGCACATTCTCAGGAAATGTTGGGCTAAATCAGCCACAGAAACCATCTCCTTTTCAAAGAGAGTCATTGGGAAGCCATAGTTTAAAGTCTTGGTTGAGACTCATGTAAGATTCATGCATCTTACGTTCAGGCCAAGTTGGCTTGCTGTTTGTTGAGGGTCACTGTGGAGCTCCACCTTGGTGCCACCGAGAATGGCAGAAGCCAGATCAAGAGAGTCCAACAGTAAAAGTCCTTCAGAAGTAGCAACACCACCCCCTGTAAGCCAACGTTCGCCAGGACTGGACTGGAAGAGGACATGAAGGAGGCCAAAGTCTGCGGGACTTCTCTGGTCCCTGAGAACCATTTACTCCCATCTCTCCATTGGCTGCCTCAGCTGTGGCTCTAGAGAGCACAGAAACACCCACACCCACACAACTGTCTCACTCTTGTTCAGGTGGCAATGGCAGTTTTGGGGAAGGTGCTTCATGACTTACCATCCCCCACCACACCTCTATTCCTCCCGTCATTCTCTCCCTTTCCAAGGCTTGCAAGGGACAGACAATTGGCCCCAGGCTTACTAGAGAGAAGTGGTGGGGGAGGGATTGCCCACCTTCTCTGCTCCTTTGCCATACCTTAGCTGTTCCCCTCATGCAAACTTATAGCAGGTTCAGGAATTCCCATATGTTCTGGGTACCTTCAACCTCTGGCTGCCATTCAGCCCTTGCAGCTGTTTCTGGTTCCCCTCTTCTGCTTTGTTAGGGCTTCTCTCAATGCCAATTGTGTGGCTGGCAAACAATTATTTTCCACAGGCATAAGCTGCCTCGTTCGGAGCCCAGGGAGATATACCAGGCAGGCCAAGGAAAGAGCAAGTAGATTCTCATGTGCCAGGCCTCCGTGTGAGGCAGAAAGGGTCTCCCTGCCATGGCACGCAGCCCAAGGGGGCTGAGGTCTTTTGGCTCTAGTGGCATATAGTATCTTCCTGCAGAGTTGCCCAGGCAGGTGCCCACCAGTGGCATCCAACAGATCTCCTGCTTTCATCCAAACACCCCCCCCCCTTTGAGATACCTATCCTTGATGTGATGTTTGCTGTCATCAGTCTTTGATGCATCCAGCATCCTGAGTCAGGCCAGAGGGCAACCTGCATGCTGCCCCCCCCACCCCCCCAGAATGGCAGCTGCAGAGTTTTGGTTGCTTACTGGCAGAGACTGGAGGGTGTGCTTGGGAGGGATTGGAACAGTTCTCAGTATTAATGCTTTTAGTCTTGAATACGGATTCGGAGATCAGAAAGAGGCTTACCAGATGCTTCATCTATGCAAAATGGAACAGCAACGGAGGGGGTTCTTTCCTTCCCATTCAGTGGGACAAATTCAGCTCCGGGAGTTTGGCTTTCCTGCTGTCTCAAATGAGTTCATCCCCTTGAAAATATCCTCGCCAGGAGGCGTGGGAGATCCCTACTGCAACATCGAGATTTGCCACCAGACCCACCCCCCATTTCTGGTTGCCCCTTCTGCCCCCCCCCCACTCCTGAATAACGAGTGGGCTGCCCAGGCAGAGATGGTGATGCAGCCACTGGACAGGAGAACCCACTGGACGGGCATGAACTGTGGGGGGAGGCGTGAGACATACAGATTTAGGCAGGCTCCAAAATCGGAACAGCCCTGACAAAAACATCCCTTCCTCTCCAAGGATTTTGCTTTTAAAAGCAGCATTTGCTGAAACCAGGAACAGAGAAGAGGCATTTCCTGCTGCTGGCAAGTTGCAGCCTCTGCTGGCCCGAAGCAAAAACCCAAACTGGAAATGTTGGTTATTTCCCATCACAGCAATTGGGAGACTGGAGCTCCCTCCGGCTGGGTGGTGGTGAAGGCATTCCTAAACTTCACCCAGACCCAGACAGCCCCTCCCTGACCCAGCCCTGCTCCCCCAGTGAGACAGAGCCTCCAAGGGGGCTGAAACCTTGATGCGGGATGGGCATCAGGGCAGCATCCTGTTGGAACCCTCGTATCTCCCCCTCCCACAAAAGCAAGTTGCAACAGAATCTGCAGAGGGAGACGCTGGTGCCCTGTTTTCTGCCAACTCTCTTTATTCAAGAGCACCTTTTCCTTTGGGCCAGAAGGAAATACTCCGGGGTGGGGGCGCGACACGGAACCCCTCTCCACAATGCTGTAAATAGCCACCTTTCTTTACCATCTGTGTACAATGGGCAGCAGAGGAGATGCTCCTTGGCCGCCCATCCTCTTGCCGGGGTGGGGGTGGGGAGCTTCTCGGTGTTCCAGCTTGGAAGAACGGAGCCCAGCTCGGGGGGAATCTCCCTTTAAGGACACCCATCAAGGAGCTGAGGAGCCGCGTTCTAGCCAGGGAAGGAGCCCAGCAAGGCCGGACAGGCTCTGCTGAGCATGGGGGCTCCAGGTGGGCCTCTTCAGAACTTGTTGTTCCACTCCTGAGCATGTCAAAAATGAACGGCTGTCTCCCCAACGCCCCCTTCGCTCAGCCTGAGTTTGAGGCTATTGTCTGGCAGAAGCCCCCACCCCCCCCCCTGGGGGGTCCGGGCCAGGTTCCCCCCCCCCCCCCCCGCCTCCCCGGGTTCCCTGAAGTGGCTGGGAAGCTCTCCTTCAAACCCCACAGCCATTAATTATTGTCAAGGCATGGGCAGGTGAAATAAAGGCCCGCCATTGCTCCTCACGTGCGAGATAGTAAATACATTTAATTACGGGACAAGCGCTGAGGGATCTCTGCCGATATTAAGTTTATTAGCAGAGACATTTAAAAGCATGTCATCATAACAAAAAGGTCTCGTGTAATCCGAAATGTTCCACTTTGAGACAAGACTCCGAAGTGAATAGACTTAATTGAGCAGATGGCTGCTGCTCAGGCTGGGACGGGCGGCTTTGATGGGCAATTAACTTCTGCCTGCCGAACGGCTCCCCGGCTCCCCGTTTCCGCGCCCGCCGAGCCTGGAGCCAGAGGGCCGGGGCCGGGGCCGGACCTGACGCCTCTGCCGCTCTCTCGCCCTCCAGGGAGCTGATGCCGCGGACCCTGGAAGGCCAGCTCACCATGGAGAAGACGCCCAGCTACTTCGTGACCGGCGAGGCGGCCGGCCGGATCCACGCCATGGCCAAGGACACCAAGCTGATCGTGGTGGTTCGGGACCCGGTGACGCGGGCGATCTCCGACTACACGCAGACGCTCTCCAAGAAGCCCGAGATCCCCACCTTCGAGGTGCTGGCCTTCAAGAACCGGACTCTGGGGCTGATCGACGCCTCCTGGAGCGCCCTCCGCATCGGCCTCTACGCGCTGCACCTGGAGAGCTGGCTCCAGTACTTCCCGCTGGCCCAGATGCACTTCGTCAGCGGGGAGCGGCTCATCTCGGACCCGGCGGGGGAGCTGGCCAAGGTGCAGGCCTTCCTGGGCCTGCGGAGGGTGGTGACCGAGAAGTACTTCCATTTCAACCAGACCAAGGGCTTCCCTTGCCTCAAGAAGCCGGAGGAGAGCGGCGCGCCCCGCTGCCTCGGCAAGTCCAAGGGCCGGACTCACCCCGTCATCGACCGGGACGTCATTCAGAGGCTGCGCAAGTTTTATAAGCCCTTTAATGTCATGTTTTACCAAATGACGGGCCAGGATTTCCAGTGGGAGCAGCAGCAGGCAGGGATGTGAGGCAGCAGCCACAGCAAACGAAGCCGGGTTTTCTCCAGAGGTAAATGGGAGGAAACCTCTTTGCTGCGGGAGGGGGAGGGGGGCAGCCTTTGTGGGCATTTACAATCCCGACCCTTCCCCTCTTTCGAGTTGAGACTCCACTGCCACCCTGGACCTCCCGCCTCAGAGGTTGGGGAAGGCTGCCCTGGTGCTCCTTGGCCTGCAGAGGGGCAGAGGTGGGCGCTTCCATGTGCCAAGCCCCCCTGGTCAGGAGCTGGCTTCACAGGTAGGGCACCAAGGGTGGCATTCACCCAAAAGGTAAGGAATGTGGCAAGAACTTGTGGGATCAGGCTTCTGACCTGAGAGCACCCGCAGTTTCAGGTGCAAAACAGCAAGAGGTTTGGGTTCCCACTACATCAAGATGATGGCTGCAGCACACCAGCTTTCCGTAATCTGGTCAGATTTGAGTCATGTTTCATTTTTTGTGGCCTTCCACAAGATCACAGAATTGTGATTACCTAAAGACGCCACAGGCTTTGGGTTCAAAATCCAGCCTCCATAATTGCCCACAACCTTCTTGATCTCCTTCCAGCTGTCCCCCTCCAAAGCCCAGCTCAGTGGGCTTTGGGGTCCCATCCCGACTTTTTGAGATGGCTCCCTGCGGCCTTGTGCTTTGACAATCAGGGGGTCTCCAAGCAGAAATGTGGGCTGCTCGGTAACTTTACCAAGAGCTAGTCTGGTGTGGCTGTTAAGGAAGCAGGCCAGAAATTGGGAGTTGTGGGTTCTAGTCCTGCCTTAGGCACAAACCAGCTGGGTGACTTTGGACCAGTCACTTTCTCTCACCCTAGAAAGCAGACAATGGCAAACCACTTCTTTGCCAGGAAAACTGCAGGGACTTGTCCAAGTAGCCTCTGAGAATGGGATATGATTTAACAGAAGGGGAAAAAAAGTTTATTACAGATTTTAAAAAGGAAGATAAAACTAATGCAATCATATAAGATATAAGATATAAGAAAGTAAGATATAAAGTAAGAAAAGGAAAAGAATGCAAAGAAAACTAAAAGTGCAACAAAGGGGGAGGAACTAAAAGAAAAGTAGAAAAGAAAGAAAAAAGACTCTAGCATCTCGTGGCTTCCAATCTTCTTTACAGCAGTTATAAGCACAATTATAAATTTACCCCTTATTCTAAGGTTACAACATAAGTATCTTTTTTTCTATATCTAATCCTCAAATCCATACATTGTAAATTTATTTTTTTCTATTTTGTGCAAAAAGTCTATAAGGGACTGCCCATCAGCAGCAAGTTCCATCATCTTCACCAACTGTTCCTCCGGTGAGGATAAGGCCAAATCTTTCCATCTTTGTGCATACAATAATCTCACTGCAACTACCATGTAAAAAACAAAATTCTATGACTTTTTTTCCAACTCTTTGTCTATCAATCCCATAAGAAAAACCTCTGATCACAATTGTTAATCTTTAAGATCCTGCATGCAAATATTTGAATCCAGAATTTTCTAGCTTTTTACACTCCCACTAAACATGGTAAAATGTCCCTTTTTGTCTTTGTATATTCTAGATAATTTTTCTGAGCACAAAACCAATAGTAAGTACATCATTTTATAAAAATTCTTAAGATTCTAACAATGTTTGAATCTTCTCTCTTCTCTTGAGGAGAAAAAGCAACTATAAAACTAACAAACAAAAAATGAAGAATGTGCTAGAGCTGACTTTCGCATATGATTAAGTTCTGACTTCATCTATTAAATGAGAACGATGTTGTCACGCAATCCATTTTGCAAGGATTTAAAGTGTTCAGGTAGATGACTTTGTAAAAAAAAAAAAAGAAACGAAACCATCAGTTATGGTCTGAGTGGGCTTGCTTCCTCCTCCCCACCCCCGGGCTCCCACTGGGGCAGCTTCACACATTGGAGGAATGGGAGAAGGCGCCTGCATCCCCTCAGGCCGTGACTCCGGATTCTCCGTGCTCAGGACAGATGGACCTGGAAGTCACCCCCCTCCTTGCTTGCTGGCCTGGCCTGTGTGCTTTGCCAGCCTGGCCTACGAACAAGGTTATCAAGGCCGCCTGGCTTCTCCTTCCAGTTGATTCAGTATCAGCTGGGGGTGGTTGATGAGTGAGGTTCTGGCTTGCAGCCTGGGGCTCATCTGCCCCACCCTGACAGAAGCCACAGCCCACCTCTCTTTCTTGTCCCTGACGAAATGGTGTAAACAGGCACATCTCTCGTGAGAAACAGCCAATGGGACCTTTGACCAAACAGCGAGAAGCAGATGAGGAGCAGGATCAAGGAGATGGCTAACGGGAGCCCTGAGGAGATGTCAGACGGGCAGTGGGTTCTCCCAAGCAGGGGCTCCAACTCCTTGGGGGACCATTCTCTGAATGGGGTGCTGCTGCTCACATAACAAGGTGATGCTTCTTCTTTCCCTCCATACAGATCCACCTGTAGTGACGAGAGCCTGACCTGATTTCCAAGGGCCAACTGCCCCCTCCCCAGCGTTGGGGATGAGTGCTCAGCGGACTGAAGAGGCAGCCAGGGCTTCAGGGGAGTCCTTTGGGCCCTGATTCCTCCCACTTTCTGAGACCAGGAGGGTGCCCCGAGAGCCCCAGCTCTGCCCTGAAGACATCTCTGTTGTTTGGAGAGAAGTGGGGGGCTGGGTGTCCTTGCTCCCCAGCTGGGGAAGAAGAGCCATTTCACACGTCCTGCATCCTGTGCCATGTCTTCAGATGTTTATTTTTGCTATGGTTGAGCCGCTGAGCAGACAGAGGAGATCGTCCTGTTCTCGGGGAGCCCGTTCTGGAAAGTGGCATCCCATTGGGAGAGGCTGCCCTGGGGTGTAATGGTTGGTGTGGCCCTTCCCAACAGAGGAGGGGGCAATTCCGCTGCACGAAATGCTGCCGGTTTCCTGTTTTCTGGACGGCTGGTGCGTTTCCTCTGCCAGCCTCGCCTTTTGCTGTGCAAGAAGACCGTCTGTCTTCTGAGGAAGCCACCAGCTCAGGAAACGTTCCTTTTTTCTTCCTTTTTTTCTGTTTTGTCTTCCCTGTTTAAATGTCAGCCTCCCTGGCACAGAGAGATTGAATTTTCTATTTGATTTCAATTAGCAAGGCATAAATTATACTTAATTTTCTGCTCCCAGAGACGGGATGAGTCATTGTCCCAGAAAGCTGGCAATGTTATAGTTCAGCCATTGACAATGGAAGGATTCATTGCCTGGAAGGGAAATTGCCTCTCTGCCTCCTCCTCCCCTGCCCCCCCCTCCTCTGAGTCTCCACCATCTACCTGAACGATACGGACATGCAAAGCCTCCACCTGGAGCTAAACTCACCCCACAATAAAATCTTGCAACAGCAGCTTCTTCTTTCTGCTGTGTTTATCAGCTTGGGGGGGGGGCTGCCTTTGGCAAAAGGGGGGGTTCACATGGGGGGTGGTGGGGTACCAAAGCTGAGAAAATATTACTCCCTTTTGGCTCTAGAAGAGTAAATTAAATGCAGACAGGTGGTGAAAAAGCACAAAAACCTCTTAATGCTGATTTTAATTTTCATCAAAGCCGCTTTTATCTGGACAAAAAGAGGTCTTAACACCAAACAGACCTAGCTGATTCTCACTAACCCAGCTGTGTGTGGGGAGGGGCACAGTGTGGCCTCCAGCTGTTGCCGAACCACAATGGCAATCAGCATAGGCCACAGAGGAGGATGCTGGGAGTTGTAGTTTATTTATTTATTTATTTTATTTTTATTTTATGTGATTTGTATGCCGCCCTATCTCCGTAGACTCAGGGCGGCTCACAACAATAAAAACAAACCCAATAAAACATAAAATACATACAAAATACATAAATGTATAAATATAAATTTAAAACATATATTACCCATTAAAATAGTCAAACCCCCTCAGTCCAGGTTGGGCGATGTAAACAGCCATGTTTAGCAACATCCTTAACCCTGGCATGGCTTTTTTTATTACACCACAGCCCCATCACCCTCTTTCCTTTGGAAATGAGCAGCATTGTGTAAAATGCAGAGCCAGAGAAAGCCGAGATATTGCAGGAGAAGAAAACACGGCTAAAGCTCCTTTGCACCATCGCCATGCCTCTCCCTTCCATCATGCCCTTGGCTGGCCTTGACCACTTCCTTGGTCTTCGCCTGCCTCTTCATTCATTCGCCCTAGATTTGGTTTGGGATTTCGTCCTCATCCAGTCCTCTTTACCTCACCAAACCACCTCAACAATTTATGCTTCTCCTGACACATCCCAACTCTTTGTTCTGTGTAACAGAGTAGGCAAACTCATATCCTCGTATCCTGTCATATCCATAACAGACCACCAGCCAGCCATTGTATTGATATCAAAGCTTGTACGTCTTAGAATGTCTCCCTCCATCCTTCCATCATTAGGTCTCAGATTTATCTAATTGCTCTGTTTTTTCCTCCTCTTTATATATAACTTGCAATCATCAATTCCATTTTCCTTGTCAAACCCAATTTCCTGTCCTTTATAAATGAATAATTCCTCTGTCACCATTCTGCTTCATCTTTCTTTCCACGTGCTTTGGACAGAGTCATCCTTTTACATTCCTGGACTGCTCTGAAGATTCAGAGCAGTCCTGGGAGCCGAGCCGAGAGACGAACATTGGAACTGAGATACCAACATTTGAATGCCCAATCTCAGCAACCGCCTGGGGCTGCTTGGTGGCAGAGTCCCTGAGGCAGAAGGGAGGCTCCATTCAGACAATAGGACATACCATGGTTAGCAGCAGTCCTAGTTAGGCAGCCGTATCCTTGCTCAGCTTCACTAACTCTTAACTCCTCCGGCAGCAGGTTTCTGGTGCTGAGCCTCCTGAGGGGAGTTGTGGGCTAGCTTCAGAATTCAAATTTGTTTTAGCAGTTTTGGCGCTGTCTCTAGTGGATCTTCCATAATAAACACCAAATCATCCGCCAATGCTTGCAATTTATATTCTTCTTTTTTAATTTTCATTCCTTTTATATCATTTTCCTGTCTTACTTTTCTATTAAAAAAAAAAAAGAATTCAAATTCTAATATTTGAGGGGCTGCCACAGAGAGGAGAGGATCAAACTATTTTCCAAAGCACCCGAAGGCCAGACAAGGAATAATGGATGGAAACGGAACAAGGAGAGATTCAACCTAGAAATAAGGAGAAATTTTCTGACAGTGAGAGCAATCAACCCATGGAACAAAAGTTGCCTTCGGAAGTTGTGGGAGCTTCATCCCTGGAGGCTTTCAAGAAGAGACTGGACTGGTGTAGTAGGGTCTCCTGCTTGGGTGGGGGGTTGGACTAGATGACCTACAAGGTCCCTTCCAACTCTGTTAATTTGTTAATCTGACTGCCCGTGTTTGGAGTAACATCTGAAGTGAGCCTTGGAATCTCCCTGGTCCAGGAGAAAGAAACTCCATGTTGCTCAGAAACTAGTCAGGACAGATCAAAGGCTCCCTGTGAAGCCGACAAGCCTCTTCCTTTTGCTGCATAATGCAAGCAGAACCTCTTCCATCTATTCTCTCTATCTCTGGTGTGTTTCTAGGCTGTCATGCATAATCCCTATCTAGCAGGTTGGGGAAAATTATTTTACCATCTCATACAATTGTGCCACTGGAAAAAAGCAACTGGATTCTTTTTAATCAACAAAATGAAGAAGTAGTGAACTATAAAATTGCTAATTATTTTCTAGTAAATTTACTTTTGAATAACTTGAGACACCAATTACAGGGACCATTAAGCACCATTAGCGGTGGGTGTGCCAAGGCTGGACGCCACTCGCAGCAGGCAAAGCAAGCAGAAGCTTTGATTTCCTGCTCGGAGGCGGGCACGGATTGCCTGCCCTCTTGCTTCTCTCCCATCCTTTGCCAGAAACTTAAAAAGTCATCAAATGTTTAATTATGTATTAAATTAGGATAGAGGATTTTTCAGAAAAAGAAAATGAAGCCTGATGTTGCTGTACTGGGATTCCAGCATCCCTTGAGGAAAAAACACATTTCCACTTTACTCAGAACCTTGTTTACAGCTGTGCCAGAGGATCCTCGCATGAAAGGGGGGGCGGGTCTTCATGTCTTCCCTTTGGGCACCCTTTGGAGAAGCCGGGGGGCCTGCCCAATGGCCCTCCTGGCAGGCTGGCAGCCTCCTCTTCCACTGCCAGCCCAGGTAGATTTCCTCCAGCTCCAGTCTGGTTAGTTCTCCCCAAAAGGTGACGATCAAGGCTTATGGCCACCGCGCCTCTCTGGGCAGAGTGCTCAGGGCTGACGTGCCCTTCCCACTGAAAGGGAGGCATCCACTCCTACCACAATGGCTTGTCTTGTTGCTAACATCTCCTCCCTCCCCCCCTCCCACCCCCGCCCCCTTAGTGCATCAAGGTGACCCTATTTCTCTTTCCACCCTGAGAGGGCTGGAGGGCCGTGTTTCCAAGCATCGTGTTGGTTACTCATCTGTGTTCAGACCAATCCATGGTTTCATGCACTGGAAAAATGCAGTTTCTTTCAAGGGGCCGCACTCCTGATCCATGGCACCTCTCGGAGATGGGATTGGAGGGCCAGTGAACAAGGCCTCGTGCAATTCTTGACTTGTCTCGCCAGTACAGTTGGGACCCAATTCCCACGTGAGGCTGCTTTCACCGCCCAAGTGCAACTTATGGCTGGGGGAGGGGGCACAACAATTAAGGGCCAACATACCAGCCTCAAAAATCATACTCCGAAAGCACCTCAGGGGTTCTTCTTCCTCATCAAATTTGAATGGGATGCCCCAAGTTCAGGTTTGGACTCTACTTAAAAAATAAATTATTGACTGAGGTGAAGAGGGGAAGGAAATGCTTATTAAATTTGCAGACAATGCAGAAATGGACAAGATAGTGAATACCTAAAAAGACAGTAAATTTCAAAAACCTTGGTGGAGGCTAAACAAAATGAGTTGAAAATAAGAGATTGAAATTTGACAGATAAATGCAATTTGCTGCTTAGGAGAAATATATCAAGTACACAAGGGTAATACGGGATCTTGGACTAGTAGCTGAATATAAATTAAAGATAGAAGTTACATATTCTTCAAAAGATCGTACGACAAGCTGAGTGTAGCTTAAGTTGATCCTAGCCTCCTCCTGGGTAAAATTGAGCAATATTTATTAGTTCAATTTATATGCCGCCTTTCTCCGAAGACTCAGGGCGGCTATAACATGGATGGATTCACAGTTAATCGAACAACAGTGTCCAATGTGTGTTCTTAAGGTTCTGAGTCTACCTGGAGAGAGGCATGCAGTGGGGCACCCCAAACTTTAGTCCTGGGCCCCGTGCTTTTCCATGTTTTCATCAATGGTGCAGACAAATGGATGGAAAGGCGACTCATCGTATGTGCAGACACACTAAGCTGGGGCAGGGACTGCGACCACTTCAGAAGACGGGCTCAATGTTAGAATCCTAGTATACTTGAATTTTGGGGCCTCTTCAGCAATATATAATTTAATGGAGAGAAATGCACAGTTCTACATACCAATAAAAGAGAATATTTGTAGCTCAGGGTTGAAATGAGGGGTCCTTGGTGCTCTCTGAGCTTGGTTGTTCTCTTACGATGTTTCATTAGCCAAACTAGGTAACATAATAATTTGTATGTTATGTATGTAATGTATGTAATTTGTATGTAATGAAATGTCTGCAAGAAAACAATCAAGCTCAGATAGCACCAAACACCCTGCAGTTCTACTTTTTAGTAGGGTAAAACCAGGTGCACAGGCACAAGGTAGGCAGTGCCTGGCTCAACAGTAATACTTGTGAGAATGGCCTAGGCACCCTGGTAGACCACAGATTAAACACAGGCCAACCATCTCCTGCAGCTGTCAAAAGAGTCAGTGCAATCTTGGGCTGCATCAACCAAGACATGGTACCGAGATCATGGGAAGTGATAGTTCTGCTGTAAGTTGAGCTGGTCAAACTGCACCTGGAATAACTGTGTACACTTCTTGTGACAATATAAGAATGACATTGAGGAAGGGAAGGGGTGCAGAGACAAGTAACAAAGATGGTGAGGAACTTGGAGATTACCGTATTTTTCGGAGTATAGGATGCTCTGGACTATAAGACGCACCTACCTTTTTTGGTGAGAAAAACAAGAAAAAGAAATCTGCTTACTTTATTTTCAATTACGTTTTCAGCATAGCTTGATTAGCACAAGAAAAAAAGAAATCTGCTCCCAGCAGTTTACCTCCTTGCAATAAGCAGCAGAGGCCCGAGCAGCAATAGGCCATGGCAATCCCTGCAGCCTGAAACAGCTGAGAGTCGGGAGGCCGATCCAAGGGACAATCAACTTGTGCTAATTAGGCTGTGCTGAAACTGAAATAAGCTGTTTCTTCTTGCTGC